AGCAAAGGGTCTGAATACTTATGACCATGTGATATTTCAGTTTTTCTTTTTTAATAAATCTGCAAAAATGTCAAAACTTCTGTGTTTTTCTGTCAATATGGGGTGCTGTGTGTACATTAATGAGGAAAAAAATGAACTTAAATGATTTTAGCATATGGCTGCAATATAACAAAGAGTGAAAATTTAAGGGGGTCTGAATACTTTCCGTACCCACTGTATACTGTACTGAAGCTCAATGATTTGAATATATGAATACAACCATAAGAGATATTTTGACTTATATCAATACTACAATAGGAGAGTGATAACAGCAACAATGCCAGCAAAGCAGTGCCTGTACTGAACTGCAGCTTGATGCATAGTTTTTACTTTTATCTGTTCTTCTCCAACACTCACAGCTGGTATAAAAGTCTTTCATCTCAGCTGACAGAGTCTAAAGTCATCTCAAAGACACAGGAGGGATATACACTGTAGGTTTTCCAACTGCAGCCTCCAATTTAAAATCTTGAACATTTCTAAAGCACAGCACATTTGTGCATTATTGACCAACTGTGGGTACCCTTGATTTAATCATGCACAACAAACCTCTGCAAAACAGTCACACAACCTTTAAAATAAAGGTTAACTGATTGCTTTTAAGTCCATATTTTACACAGCTTCACAAATTAAGGTTTGAAAATCAGCAGCAGCATAAAAGACATCCTGACAATGTAGTGAGCACAAATAGTTCCCTGAAAAATAATTTAAAGAGTAATGTGAGCAGGTAACATAACAACTGTTATTTATGGACTGCTCTGCTTATATGAAAGAAAACTGCTAGTGGACATACTTAATGTTTTGGCTCGCACAACAGAACCCTGGCTTTGGGCATTACAATATGGTTAACTAAAAATGAGGACCCATATTTCTTATATTACCTTTAATAAAAAAAAGTGAAGACCAAAATGTCCTCACTTCAAAGGCATAAAATGCAAACTGCTCCTCACATTGACATACAAGCACACACACACAGGCTCTTAAGCCCATACATACCTGTATAAATGTTTATGGTGTCATGGCAGAGTACCAAGTATGAGATCTGTGCATGCGTGTGTTGTGTATAATGTAACGATAAGAACTGCTTTGACTGACAGGTGTGGATGGGTATGCGCCTTGATTGTATATAAGTGTAATCAGAGGAATAGCAGCTTCATTCAGTCACTACTACTAATAGGTACATGTACTGTATGTATAAATATTACTTGCTTATTTTAAGACCAGGGGAATAAAATGTGAGTGAAAACCACTGTGGTCTGTGCTGCTTTGTTGGGTTAAAAATAGAAATTCTACAATACTTGTCTATTTATAAACAATTGTAAAATGAGTTGTATTGTGAATCAACAGGATGGATGGCACACAGCACTACTGTCTCAGCAGAGGAGGAACATTTTCATTAATGAATAATGTGGACAATTTGTGGTGTCATCCTAAAGCTAACAGAAGCATATATATACTGTATGTATAAAATTCCCCCCTCACCCCACTTTGGGGCGATCTTGTATTCCTTCCTTCAAGCTTGGGTCCTCTACCAGAGGCCTGGGAGCTTGAGGGTCCTGCACAGTATCTTAGCTGTTCCTAGCACTGCACTCTTCTGGACAGATATCTCAGATGTTGTTCCTGGGATCTGTTGGAGCCACTCTCCCAGTTTGGGGGTCACAGCCCCCAATGTTCCTATTACCACGGGGACCACTTGTGCCTTCACCTTCCACATCTTTTCTAGCTCTTCTTTCAGCCCTTGGTATTTCTCAAGCTTCTCGTGTT